TGGCAACCCATTTCTTAGACTGATTTTTTTTACCTATTCCAGCAAGCTATTCAGCACCTCTGACAACACATTTGCCCCCTGTTCCACATAAGTCTCAGGTTCCATCAGGAACTAGAAGCTGAATAAATACTCACCCAGCTCTGCCCCTGTATGTGGACCCATTGATACTTTTCTGGCATGGATTAAAGTGTTTGAATGTAATAAGGCAGCACTGGGCTATATTGCCTTAGGAGCCTATTATCAGAGAACTTCAGAAGATAATGAGGGATGGGTATGTCACTTTTAAAGATCCAAGTTATTTTCTATTGGACTTAGATTAAACTTAAGACAAGCAGAAGGTGAAGCTCAAACATACTGCATACACATACAGATTCTCTCCCTCCCTCTCTCCAGTATGTGTAGTTACTTTATTATTACTGTATCATCATTACAATGCTGTATTGTGTTTTAAGATGTTAGTGAATATGGAAGATCATCCATTAATCAAAGATCTTGGTTAAATAGGACCTGTATAAAAGAAAAATAATTTAAAGTTTTCTTAATGCAAAATTTTAAAATGTTAGAACAGTTAACAGCTAAAATACTATGTAGTACAGAATATACCTGTTAAAAACACCAAACACCTGTACTCCCATCAAACTTCTATAATCTTTAAATGACTCAGCAGAGAGGACTTTTTTAACTTGATACCAAAAGTTGGTCCCAGGCAGGCCCCATTCCACAGTTCGGAGATGACTAAGAGGGTCCTCCCTCCTGTTCCCATTCTCCATGCCTCCCTTGGAGTAGGCACTCAGAGGAAAATCTCCAATGTTAATTATAGTATATGGGTAGACTGCAGTGGGAGAGGCATTCCATCAAATGTGAATCAGAGCTCGAAACATTTGATGCACAAATGTGCACTTTTGTACAACTGAAGTTTCCAAATAGTTTTCAAAGGCAGCCCCTTAGAGCCCATTATAGAAGTCCAAATGAGTTCGAACTAAAACATGTGTCATAGTAAGCGGAGCAGACTTTTTCAGGATTGGGTACAGTTGGCTCACGAGCCTCACCTATTGCAAACATGCATCTGGCCTTTGCCAAACTTGGAATTCAGGTTCAATTATCAAGGAATACACCCAAACTGTGATCCTAAGTCATCAAAGGGAGTGTGACACCATCCAACACAAATTGAATATCTGTTCTCTGAACTTCCTTCTGTCTTGTCTAAATTAAACATCTATTTGTTCACTCTCAGCCAGTCCAATACAAACACCAATTTAGAACTAAAAATGGCTTTCTTGTTTTTTGGAAAGTGGCTCTGGATGCAGAATTCAGGATGTCTCCCAGCAGTTTCATGTCTGTGTTAAATAGCATGGGATCCAGAATGGAACTTGAGAAGCATGATAAGCCAAAGGGTGTCAAACACAAGTCTCACGGCACCACCTTCTGAGATTGCCCCTCCAAGAAGTACCAGAACCACCATGGAACATTGCTTGCAAATCTTAAACATCAAATTCATGAGTAATTCTGATACTTCTTGGGGTAGAAAAATACTATTCAGTTGAAAAATGATATTGGCCTTCCAATATTGGACCATTAACTGAGTCATAGCTGATTATATGACCTTGGGAACAGGCCTGTAGCATGCGTACCCACACATGGTTCAATAGCAGGCAAAAAAGGATCACATCTGATAAAGCAGTGTCAGAAGAGCAGTGTTCAGAAGAGCACAGCAAGTTAAGCCATAAGTACCTTGTACAGTAAATTGTAGGGGTTACTGACTGCAGCTGTTCCTCACAGAAAGAACTGCTCCAGCAAGGGACTGCAAGCAGGAACTGCAGCCTTAAGAAGGCTGGCAGGCCCAGGAGGATTCACCCTTCACTGTAGGCCAGCTGTATTCTCAAAATGCCAAAGTGGCTGAGAGAGAAGGAAACTGTTGGAAAGTCATCTTTAGAGTCTGAGCATGAGTGAAAGGGTACTTTCTCGAACCTGTAAGCTATTTGAGAGCACTTCCAAAAGTGATTAATTAGGTTCTAACTCTTCCGTGCAGCGGTGTTGCTGAGCCTAGCAATGTAACGGCATAAATTACTTGCTGACTTGACAGATACCATCACTGGAAGGTGATCATAAAAGAGATAATTTTTTGTTCAGGGTATAGACTGAAAAGGCTTTTTCAAATGTTGAGAACTAGAGACATTGTAGGCCTGGACTTTGAACTTGTCAGAGCCCTGTTGTCTACAGGAACCAATGTTTTTCTTCTTAAACTTCATTTGCAAGTGGGCAAGGGGCTGATTTTCAGAGTGAATCTCAGATGGAAGAGGAAGGGTATTGTGATTTTCCTAAAGTTCACCTCCAAAAATGCTTTTCCAAGCTTAATTACTGTTCAGGGCAGGACAGATGTTTGGAGGTTAACACTTTTCTGCTTGCACAGTGGTTCCTGGAAACCATCCTTTGCAAGGTGACGAAGCTGGGGTGGGGGGAATCTTCATTGCTGCCAATGGAAATTTGTAGTGTTGTACATTGTTGTCATGAAATATGAAATGTACTGTTTTCAAGCTAAAAGTAACACTTTCAGCACTCTGTGGTAGCTTTGAAGCATTCAAACAGTCAAATTTAGCATTTGAAACAGTAAAATGTATACTTCTACCACAGTACTAAAAGTGTTGTTCAGGCTGAGGGTAGAATTTCTGCCTTTGACAAATTTGGTTGCATCTCAGGAGCCATGTGTTATTGACCCCTGATATAGGTAAAAACAAATTATTTGTCACCTCTGAATATATTTTCAGTTGCTTGTATTTTAAATTTCAATTGAGCTTTTGTGTGTTGAATAACTGATTACACTGAAACCTTTCTTCTTTAGGGGCAATTATGTAGGGGTTCGTCCTTATAAAACAGGAACAGCATGTAATGAGTGCCCAAAAGGAGACACTTGTATTAATAAACTCTGTAGTAAGTATACAGTTGAATTAAAACATTAAGTGTAGAAATACATTTTTGTCAGTCCCCTGAAAGTGTTTCTTGTAATATATATGTCTTTCTGCACCTCACCCAGTACACAAACAGGCACTAAGCTAATATAGAGAGGAAATAATAAGCACGTCATTGTATCATTTTAGCAAGTTATATGCAAGTTTCTGTTCATAGGGTAGTAAGTTGCATGCAGATATTTAACTGATTAATCAGAGGATTCACTGGTAGAACTTCATATTATACATTACTTTGACAGACATTAAAAATACAGAGGTACACTGCACAGAGGTACCCTGCTCAGATTCACAACATTTTGAATTACATCTGGCAGTAGGGGCAGGCAGAGATACACAGTAACTGCTGAACTAGTACATAATTTCAGTGCATTGCCACAAATCATGGCATTGCTACCAAATTCTGAATACTGTCTGGACAGCATTTCATAAGATTAGTGAACTCAAGTGAATCAGCCAAAATGGTCAGGATCAAACTAAACTCTTAGTGGAAATATGTTGTACATCCAATGCTCAGTACTTTTCTACAGCTGTTTTGCCTGTCATAGAAAAAAAGTTATTTTTGATTTTGACAGCAGTTGCTTTGAGTTCAAGTTTGTAATTAGATTCTTCTTTCATCACACCATACTTCTAAAACCCAAATTTCCTATTACTCCAACCCAACACTTCTATTAAAATTAGTATTATCTTATTGTATTATTTAGAAATGGAAATAACTAATGGGAATTTGTGATATAGAAGGCTATATCAACACACACCTTTATTATGAAGTCACCAGTTTGTTTGAAGCATTGAAATTGACATGGAATGAACTTTCCATTGTGAATTTTTAGAAACACTTCTACCAAAACTGCAATAAAGATAGGAAGTTTCACTGTGCCTAAACTGATCTAATAAAACCCTCTCTGATCAGTAATTACGGATATGTTTTCTTTCATGCTCTAATCTACTTGGGAATAAAAATGCTAACGATAAATTTAAATACCAAGAGACTAGGAAGAGTGGAAGTGAATATGATGAGTCTGTTTACAGCAGTACATTTTTCCCATCCATGGTGTGTGATTGTAATTCATTTTGTCTCTGAAAGGAAAGGAGGCAATACTCCAGGAATTTGGGAATGGGAAAGGAAGAAGACTCTGATAGTTATTGTCCTGTTGGAGGTTTCAGGCAACTGGAGTAGCTAATTTGATTGTTAAACTTTGCTAATTATAATCTACTTAAATTTTTATAAAATCAATTACTGCACATTTCAGTTGCTAGAATTTCATGGCAATAGTCTCATGTACCTTATATTGTGCCTCAGAAGAGATACAATCCAGAATAAAATATTTATATACTTTTTTAAAAAAATTGTTATGTTTTCCCTTTTCCAGAGAATCCTGAACGTGATAAAGAAGATAAAAGTGTGTATTCGAATTCTATCTTATATTTTAAATTTACTTTTTAAAAATGTCTATTAAGTAAAACTTTTTTTTCTTTAAATAGGTTATCCATACTGGTCCCCATCATTTCCAATGAAGATTGAGTGTGATAAAGTCTGCATTACTATTGCAGTTTTAAGACCGTTGTCAGTATTTCTAGTATTTGCTGCCGTTTGCTACCTAAAATTCCGTTATCCAAGTTTAAGTATTAAAAATTAAGCTTTGATGTACATTTCCTTTAAATATTTTGGGTAATTAACCACATTTACAGAAAGAATTAGTTTTATGTTCTAAAATTAAATTTACTTCAATTCATTGTTTCATGTGGTACACTGATTCTTTTCAAACTATGAGAAGTAACTTGTTCCATATTAAGGAAGTATATGGATATTTTTAAATCTAGAAGGCACTCATATGAAGTACCCCAAGCATTTTAAGAATAAGTTTGATTATTTGAAAATGCTCACAGGCTGTAACAGAAAATGTTTATGTGATTCATTTCTTAATGTGGTCCATTTCATAAGTCTCCAGTAAGTTTCCAATTCCTGTTAGTCCAAGTACAGATTAATTGAAGATTATACTTAAGCATTAAGTAATTAAACTGGTGAAATTATCTATGTCCTGATGTTGTGGGCCACATGCTGCTAGGGGTGGTAGGATGGACAAGCCTACTATCCCAGTTACTGTCCTATGTCCCTAAGTTACGGTAGTATTCTCATTCAAGCAGAGGATAGAAGCGGAAAAGATTTCTGTTGGCTTCATTGTGCAGCAGTTCTGCAGACTTTCCTAATCCATAGGATTTCAGCTGTGTGCAGACCTGGATCAGAAATCTCAGGCTGAGAGGGGTTGTCACCTAGTGAGATACTGTGGACTAAATGTGCATATATCCTCAGAGTCTGCAAGTGCGGAAAGAGAACACAGTATGCAACATTGTCTCTTGCAATTTGCTGGCACTGCGAGGCCTTTCTGGTGGCCAGGCCTTGTGTGAATAAAAGAAGTCTGGCTTTGTACCTTTGCCAAGTAAACACAGCAGTATCTTCTTGCTTACTTTATTCCTTGAAACAACTGATACTAAGAACTTTGTCCTTGCGAATATCCTTAAAGACCAGATTCAAGTACGATTTGTCCTGAGCCTGACATTACGGAGGTTGACACAAGACAAGTATATGAACAGAAGGGTGGGCACTATAATTATGTAAGAGCCTTCACAGGGCTCCTTGCATTCTCACAATTCACAAGATATTTTCAGGGAAAAAACAGCAATAACTCATACATTTATGTTTGATACCTGCACTGGGAAAGATCAGAGGGTAGATCAAAGAAAGGAAGTGTTACAGAAGCAGACATGAGGCAATCTTGTCACTAGGTCTTCTAGACTAGTGCAAAATGTGTCCTTGGCTGAAATTCCTGCTACACACTCCATTAGAGTGAAACTAAGAACTTATCATTAACCACTCAGGAGAATTGGATCCTGAGAAAAATGTTCCTTCTGTCATTCCTTTGGGCAGATATAAATACTGTATGATCACTGCATTTGATTTTGTATTTAGCAGAAACCCATACTCCACCAACCAGAGCCAAACATAGAATGGTGACTCACAGATGAAGAAAAACTTCGATAAATTACTTCACCAGCATTCCAAATCTTTTTTTCCTTCTGGCAAGCAGCTTCCCCCATCAGAGTTCTTCATACATTTCAAGAAATGGGAGGGTGGTAAATTGTTTTGGCTATCTTCATGAGGCTTACCTGCTCAGAAGTTCTGTCTTCACGTATTATATAAATAGTTCTCTTTATTCTTCATGACAAAAAGCAAACAAGAGGGTGTTGTGAAATCACTCAGATATTCAATCTGTCTCCCATATTCAACATGAAAACTCAGATTGGTGAGCACAAAACATCCTCTTAATGACTATGCCTTGTAATTGCCAAATTACAACACTGTCCAGAACTCTGAGAACTTTGAACTTTATAGTACCAATTCAACAGTGAGCCACAACAGCTATTGGCTTGAATTCCATATGGCTATTTTCAGAGGTTTCTTCTGCCTGTTGTCTTGATATTGTATAACAAGCATGCTTTCAGAGATATGTCATGAAGGTCTTCTGGGCATTACTATTCCTAGGGTCAAAATATACAGTAAAACCTTGGATTGCAAGCATAATTCGTTCCAGAAACATGCTTGTAATCCAAAGCACTTGTATATCAAAGCAATTTTCCCCATAAAGTTCAATGTAAATAAGGTTAATCCGTTCTGTAACTTTTTTTTTAATCACAAAAATTTGAAGCAATCCAAGGTTTTACTGTACTATATTCACAGTGACCACATTAAACTCGATAATCAACTCTGATTCAGCAACCAGAATGTTAGTGTTTTAGATCTTACAAAATCATATCAGAGGACTAGTCATTCCTATCCATTTGGCTTACATGGCTGCAAGACGCATTGTTCACCAGAGAAGCATAATTTATTTACTTACCCAATAGAAAGTTAAGAAGGTCAGAACCAAGATAGTGGTGGATTCTAACATTTTTTCAAGCGATTGATGTAGTAGGGATTAAGATTATCTCGTACACCTTAATTAAATTGGTCTATTTGGTGCCCATGTATTAGGGAAGCATTACATTTCAGCCAATCATATATGCACATACCCACACATTAAAATCTTTGTGCAAAGATCAGCTATTCCTACTCAGGATCTATAAAGTAATTTTCCATTAGGTGGAAAATGGTATAACAAGTGGGAGTTGAAAAAATTAAACTGAAATTGAAGTTCAATCAGTGCTATGTTTACTCATACACAATAAGGAAAGAACTGTTTTCTTACCTCTTCTACATGGGCTAATGTATTACTTGGTATTTGTGGTTTTCTATTTTAATAATGGTTAATTGGATAAAAGATTGCATTTTTTTAGTTTATCGGTCACAGGGTTATCTCTTACTAGAAGCAGGGCTGATCCTCCCATGTGGTAGGTGCTGGTGTGGGACAACAAATTGCATGTTTCCCCACAGTAGGACCCACTACCGCTTCCTCTAGAGCAGTGGCACTTGCACAGTCCTTGGCTGCCCATTTCCATACATTGTACCCTTCATATTAGCAAAATGTTTGTAATTAATATAGTTGCTGTTCTTTCAAATTTATATGCTGTGACTGTAAATAAATAATGCAATTTAAAAAGTAAAACTATGACAAAGAGAAGGGATGTAGAGAAGACCCGGAAGAGCTCTCTCATTGAACACTGCTCACAAGACTGACTGAGGTGCCTGCTTAATATACAGTACTACTGGCAGGACAGCACTCAAATATTCATGAAGTGGAGGAGAGTGAAAGCTGAGCCTGTAAGGGGTGCACTATCTTGTATGTTCATTGTAAGGCCATGTTCACAGCACATTGTTTAGGGAGGGACTCTCCACCATTCACCAAACAAAGTGAGGAAAGGGGGCTTTTCTGAAAGTTAAATAATGAAGAGAACCCGTTCCACCACTCAGCATTCAGTTAAGTTCACAACTGTTGACTTGTATCTTGTCTTAAAGAGTTGAAGTATGTGCCTTTTTCTGCCATTATTTGGCTTTATTTATTTATTTGGCTTTTGTTTGTTTGTTTGCATAACCCTAAATGTCCTGGTTTGTACTCCTGGGAGGATGCATACCCCAAGCTGGAAATCACTGCTCTAGAGGTTGTTCCAGAGAGCTGAACCAACTACTCTTCTGTTCTGGTGAATCTCTCCAGAGTAGCTATTCACCTGTTTTAGACTGGGGATTCCTCAGAGCTAAACAGAAGACATGTTCTCAGCCATCCTCCCCGTGGCTTGCACTAAAAATTTTTCCAGCATGAAGCAGAGGGCATACTGTCTGGCGAAAGAAGCAAGTGTGTCTTTTCAGTGAGCTGGCAAGGCCCAAATGTCTGGTGCCCAGGGTGCCTCTTTTCAGAGCCTGGTGTTTCCTGGCTGCAGAGCTGCCCCAAGAGATTGCCTATGATGTGGGCAGTCCCTCAGGACACTTCCTAAAGTAGCTGCCTCGTTCTCTGTTTAGCCAGCATGCAATACAAGGCAGCCTCCTGGAAAAAGGTAAATATATGTCTATCCGCTTTGTCCACACCATGCATAGTTTTAGAAAATTCTATCATGTTTTCTCTTCCCTTTTTTTCTAAGCTAAGACATTTTTGATGTTTTAATCTTTCTATTATTGAATTTTAATTGCAAATTTGAACAAAGCAAAACTATTAAAAGGACCAATTTTCATACATAATTTTAAATACATAACCATAGATATACATCAAATGTGTACCTATGTGTATATTGTCAAGAAACAATGAACACAGGTATGTTTTGGATGTACAATCAAAAGAACATTTACAGTTTATCCAGACATACAGGAAAAACATGCTGCATGAAGATAGCCCCCAAAGGGACAACAAAGACGGAGGCTGTACCGGATGTCTTTATAACCTATTAGTTACATACACAGCTTGAAGGAGGATGGGGGATAACATAGTTTGCTAGAAGTATGACTGGATTAAGACAATGACTGGGTCCACTCAAAATGCTTGAATAGCTTAAGAAAAAACACAAAAGGTAGGAGTTTCGGGGCAGACAGACACTAGCATACCCAAAGTGTATGTGGGAAACCAGACCTGAAATACTGTTTCTTGGTCAAATCAGCATCCCATCTGAAATCTAAAGCTATTCTCACATTGTTGGGCTTTCTGCAGTCTGACAATGGCAGTGTTCGTTCATTTTGTCCTGCCAACATGAAAATAGTTATTGGTATAAACAGGCATAGTTGTCAAGAAAGCCAAAATATTAATGTCTTTATTCATCTGTGGGTGGCATCTCAATACCACTCAATCAAATGTGGAGAGCACTGTTAGGTCCTCAATCCTTTATGTTATAGGAGGTGGGCATTTATCCTTCCAAAGCCGTGATATGTTAATGGTCAAAAAGAGTGTGGAATTTCCATTTTCATTGACATCAGTGCTCACTTCTAATTCCAGATAATTTATAAACAAGTTAAACCACGCTAGTCCCAGTACAGATCTTTTAGAACCTTGCTGCTTACATCCATACTTTGAGAAAAATTACCATTTATTCCTACTTTCTGCTTTCTGTTTTTAATCAGTTGCCAATCCATAAGAAGGCATTTCTTATTTCATGGTACCATTAAAGCTTACTTATGATCCCACCATCTGCTTCTCCCAAGCCAGTGTGGAGCTATGCAGACTGAGCTTAACTGTGGACCTCCTGTCTGGTAACACTGTCCACACACATATATATTGATTGGTTGATTGATTTCCCCAGATCACAAGTTTTCCCTCCCCTCCAACAATCAACCAGCATCCTGTGGCCATTGAATACATTCAGTAATCACAGGCCTATTTGAGAGAATTCAAACATTTGCTTGTACTTCTGCAAATCTTGGAATTCCCCTGAGTCTGTTGATACCTCCCTCTTGTTTTTGAATGGTGTTGTTTTGGCTACCTGAGGACTTGCACTTGGCTAATTGGGTTTGCTATTAAATTATATCATCATTACAACATTTTGTTTGCATCAAAAAGGTAAACAAGAAATATTATTAAGGGCACAATGCTATGCACAGACGCGAAGTCCTACAACTCCAAGCATGCAAGGGCCAGCCATACTAACTAGAGAATGCTTGGAGTTATAGAATATTTTTTCTAACTAGATCATTTATTAATACTGCAAATATGATAACTGCTGCTCTAACACGTAACAATTTCTGCTGCATATTAATATAAGGAACACAGATGTAAGGCCAAATGCCCAGAAAAGTACAGAAGAGAAATTTGAGGATGAACTTAATTTCAGAGAGGAGTAACTAGGGCGACTTCTTTTATATTGTTTATTTATTTTATGTTGTTAATTTTAATTTTATATTGTTATTTTTGTATTTTATTGTATTTTATTGTGTTGTAAGCCGCCCCAAGGCTTCGGCAAGGGGCGGCATAGAAATGTTTTAATAAAATAAATAAATAAAACTATTAGCAGTGCTTGTACCTTATTTTGTAAAATAAAACCTCTTTTTCCAGCTTGTTTGGGCCAATACTTATAAAGTTGGCTGTGCTGTTGTTTTCTGCCATAAATTTAGATCTTCCAGCATTTTTCTGTTTTTCCAATGTCTCTAGCAGATGTCAGTAGATCCATCAGTTGCCAAACAAATAATCTTCTGTTCTTCTTGTCAAATAAATCCTTCTGAGGATTGATTTTTGCCCTATTCAGTAGATGGTACCAATTTGCAGTTACCAGTTTAAAGAATTCTAAGCACATCACTTCATTTTCAAAAAAGTGAAGAATCGAGAAAACACAGAATTCTCAATTTTCCCTTTGTCTGGGAATGAAATCATCCAGAAATCACAGATCCACTTTTAAAATTTATTCCATAGGACAGTTCCTAACAGTTCTTAAAAAAACGGTAGCTTCCTTGCCTTATTCTCAAAACAATTTCAATCCAGTGAAGAAGGGAAGAATAGCACCTAATCATTCTTCTCCCCCGTTGGCAGTGCCAATCCATGCAAACTGCTCAAACGAACAAACATCAACACCTAATCAAGTCATTCTTAGTCTCTTGATGCAGTTAACAGATAACTTTATGGCTTCATTGCTGTATAGGCCTATTAGAAATTAAATGAAAGCGGCTATTCATGCATAAGCTTCATTTGGATAAGCAAAAGATTGTTTTTAAAAGTCCCTTGGCTTAGGGGAGGAGAGAAAAGAGGGAAAACTTGGGATGGAAAAAAGTATCTGGGAGGCAATTTTAAAACAATTCCTTGTTTACCTTACCTTGTCATCTTGATGGTATCAGAACAGATCAGGCATTCCTGACACAAGTGATTCGTCACCTTTCACCGGATCTTCATCATGAAGGTGAAGAGAAGGACTAACCTTCACATGGCAGTAAACAAAATGTTAGTCAGCAAGTTAAAGTAGAGAGAAGCGACTCCGTTGAAGTAGCCATCTTTCCAGGAACAACCAGCAAACTAATTTCTGAATGACTTGGGCCCTGTGTCAAAACCTGTCATAGCCTTATTAAACAACAAAAAATCAAGAATAATTTTCATACCTCACTTTAAAATATGGTACTTGGGCTTCTCTGTTTTCATTTCGTTTCAGCGTATTAGAAATCATTTCCTGCAGTGGTTTTTTTTTTTTTTTTTTTGAATGCTGAACCAACTCTTTCCTGTATGCTATGAAATCATTAACATAGGTTTTCATTATAAGTTCCGTCTCGAATACAGCAAGTCTGTGCAGAAGGCAGACAGAAAAATATTTCAGTATATAGTAATCAAACAAAGACTTAGAAACAATGAAATTTGGATGGCTATGTGGACTTTGGATAATGCTGAATCTCTCTGATTACTGCTATACTTACAATCAGCGCTTCTTACCTGATATATATGATAAACAGTTTATACAGGACTGTGTGGACAATCACAACGATTTTCGATCCAAAGTGAACCCCTCAGCCAGCAACATGCATCGCATGGTAAGAAAACTTTCCATGTCTTAATACGGAAGCAACGTATGCTGTTTTTTGTGCCCCACTGCTTCAGAAGGCAGGAAATGTTAAGATCAGGCTTTTAATGGGTCATTTTCCATGTGAGCGAAAGTAGTGGGGCCTGGTATTGTGTAACATCAGTTGTTTAGAAATGTAAAATCTGAATATGGATAGAAGACAGAAAAGATAGATATTACTAGTTTTTGAAGCATGATTAGAAGTAACACTTTCTCCTGGAACACACCCTTCCCAAGACTGCTTGTTGCCAGCCAGTCACAGAAACCAGTTGCTGTTTCTCTCTTGCTTCTCTCCCCAGATATTCTTGTTTCTTTTATCTTCTGCTAAACCAATGCATAAAAATAGTGCTACCCCTAAATGTCAAGGGTAACTACCACATCCTAGTAATTTCGCTACCAGCATTAAAGGCAAATTATCAACAACTAGAAAACCTCGAAGAGGTAATTTGGTATGTCCTAAGAGCATACTTTTAACATTATTCTCTCCCAAGCATTCATCATATTAAGGTCCGAAATCCTATGTAAGTTTAGGCAGTAAATCTGTAGGCTTTTTCTGTCTAAAGTTGTCTAGAACTGTGCTTTTAATGAGGTGGGTTTCTCAAGAGAAAAATCTAAAAACGCTAAGCTGAAAAAGAAACATCACATGATTTTCACTTTAGAGTTTCTTTCGAAGATCCAGCATCCATTTTTTCCCGAGTTCTCATCTTCCATCATCATCATCATCATCATCATCATCATTATTATTATTATTATTATTATTATTATAACATTTCTATGCCGCCCCTTGCCGAAACCTCGGGGCGGCTTACAACATGATAAAATACATTGAAATACAATAGTACATAATAAATTACCATTAAATATAAAAATACAAAAAATACATTGATTTACAAATACAAAATTAAAATTATCAGTATAAAATAAAAATATAGGAGGAGAAAGAGAAGGAAGAAGAAGTTGCCCAGGCCAGATCATATGTTTTAACAATTGAAATGATGTTTAAATAAAAAGGTCTTTACCTGGCGCCGAAAAACCAGTAACGACGGTGCCAGGCGGACCTCTTTGGGGAGTGAATTCCATAGGTTGGGCGCCACCGCAGAGAAAGCCCTCCTCCGGGTACTTACTCTCCTAATTTCTTTCATGGAGGGTTCCCGGAGAAGGGACTCTCCCGCAGATCTCAAAGGGCGGTCGGGCATATACGGATGTAAGCGCTCGTTCAGGTAGCCAGGACCCAAGCCGTTTAGGGCTTTGTAGGTCATAATCAACACCTTGAATTGGGCCCAGGCTTCAATGGGAAGCCAGTGAAGCTGATGGAGGACTGGAGTCATGTGAGCATAACGCCCCGTCCCCGTCAGCAACCTGGCAGCTCTATTTTGCACCAATTGAAGTGTTCGGACTGTCTTCAGGGGAAACCCCATGTAAAGCACGTTACAGAAGTCTAGGCGGGAAGTCACCAGCGCGTGTGTCACCGTCGCCAGGCAGTCGTACTCCAGGTAGGGGCGCAGCTGATTAATCAGCCGAAGCTGAAGGAAGGCGTTCCTCGCTACCGCTGTCACCTGAGCTTCCAAAGAAAGCTCCGGGTCGAGGAGTACTCCTAAGCTGCGGACCTTATCCCTAAGAGGGAGTGTTGCACCATTCAGGACCAGGTCAAATCCACCCTCTCCGAAACCCGATCCGCCAACCAACAGGACCTCCGTCTTGTCTGGGTTGAGTTTCAGTTTATTGGCCCTCATCCATTCCCTTACCTCGGCCAAGCACCGGTTCAGCACAGCCACTGCCTCACCTGGATTAGTGGAGAATGAGAGGTAAAGCTGGGTATCATCAGCGTATTGATGATTCCGCAGCCCACACCTCCTGATGACCTCTCCCAGCGGTTTCATATAGATGTTAAATAGCAGAGGGGATAGAATGGAGCCCTGTGGTACCCCATGGCATAGCTGCCATGACGTAGAGACATGGTCCCCCAGCACTACCTTCTGCAAAGCAGTGCCTCCAACCCCCAATCCCGCAAGTCTATCCAGAAGGATACCATGGTCGATGGTATCGAAAGCCGCCGAGAGGTCCAGAAGAACCAACAGGGATGTACTCCCCCTGTCCTTCTCCCTGCACAGGTCGTCATACAGGGCGACCAAGGCAGATTCAGTACTGTACCCGGGTCTGAAGCCGGACTGAAAAGGATCCAGATAATCAGTTTCATCCAAGAGTGCTTGGAGTTGTCCCGCCACCACTTGCTCCAACACCTTGCCCAGAAACGGGATGTTGGCCACAGGTCTATAGTTAGTGGCCATCTCTGGATCCAGTGACGCTTTCTTCAGGACCGGTCGTATTACCGCCTCCTTTAAAGGGGCAGGCACTCGACCCTCCCTCAGAGAAGCGTTAACCACTTCCAAAATCCAGGTCCCAATCCCGTGCTTGGAGTTATTTATTAACCAAGACGGGCAAGGATCCAATAGGCAAGTGGTGGGACGTACTCTTCCAAGCACCTTTCCACATCATTGGGCCGCAATAATTGAAATTCCTCCAATAATTTTGGACCAGACGGTGGCATTGGCGACTCCTCAGAGACCTCTGATTCATTAGTGGAGTTCAGCTCGTGACGAATCTGAGCGATTTAGAACTGATTTCTTCCACAAGTTTACATCTGTGCGCTAATGTTATATACAAAAATATTTCTGGTGACCTGTCCTAAAGCACATATACTAGCAGCAGAGTATTTGGGAAGGGTCAGTCCCCCCCCCCTCCATTGTTACTGCTGTTGAAGCTATTGCCTTAGATGGATGCTCTCTCAGAGAAACCTACTTTCTCTCCAACACACCTTTGCAAGGATGTTTGCACATTTGGCAGGGTTCACAGGCATATAATATTGTAGATATTGGTCAGATAAACAACATATGAGAGAATATGAAATAAAAAGAGACAACACACATTTATGAAACTAAACATACCCCATCTATGATTTCAAAAAGAAGGCGGTCGAGATAAGTGGTAGATTTTGTAAGCCTCAGTGCAGTAATGGTTTCAGCACTATCTTAAATGAATGTCTCAAATTGAGAAAGGACTTTGTTAATGTACATCTTATGAATATGGACTACTGGAGAGAAGGATACCGAAAATGCTACATAGACCATTTAAAAGAAAAAATGGAAGAGTAAGAAGTTATTAATCTTCACAATATACAAACTTGGAGGAAGTGGGGAAGGGAAGAAAACTTAAAATGCACTCTCTGTTGTTAAAGATCTTTATTAATTGTTAATGCTTAATACTGGGATTCAAAAATGTTAATACTTCCAAATGTCTATATTATATTTCTATGGCAATTGATTTCTGTGTAAAATGTTTCTGTAAATAATAATAATAATAATTGTAATAATGAATCAGTTTACATTGGCTTTTATTTCTGCAGACCTGGGATCCCGCATTGGCAAAGACAGCCAAAGCATGGGCAAAGAAATGCCACTTCGATCATAATATTTATCTCAAAATTCCTAAAAAGGTTCACCCCACCTTTACTCCTGTTGGAGAAAATATCTGGATTGGCTCCGTCCCTTTGTTCTCTGTAAAAGGTGCCATTACAAGTTGGTATGATGAAGTCAATCACTACACATTTCAGAACCGTGCCTGTTCTGCAGTTTGTGGCCATTATACTCAGGTGATTCCTTCTTTCCTCACTCATATCAGAAGCTATAAATTACGTACATAGTATATATGAAACTAAGACATGTTAATATAAATGTTAGCTTCAGTTGTGCAAGTATATTAGGGGTAATTTGTGTATGGGGTAACTTTGAAATTTTAAAATTGGCCAGGAAATTCATATATATTCACTGCAAGTAAAGCATACCCAGCTTCTTTATCATATACATGTATGCATGCTTGCAAAATCACAACTCCCTGTTCAAGAGGCATCACTGGATTAGCCACATTCAATACTAGATTATCATTCAGGAGCAGTATGCTGTTGCACACTGCCCAGTCACCCATATTTGGCTCCACACCAGCAAAAGCAGCTAAGGCAGTGATGGCGAATCTTTTAGAGACCGAGTGCCCAAACTGCAACCCAAAACCCACTTATTTATTGCAAAGTGCCAACACTGCTATAAAACCTGAATACTGAGGTTTAGTTTAGAGAAAAAAAAACAAACAACTCATACATTAACATCTTTTGTCTTAAAAGAAAAACACAATAACAGAGCTTTCAATGATACAAACAGCTTTTTATTGAAATGCTTTTGCACAATTAATCTGATCTTTGCTGTTGTATGCATGCTGATAATTTGTCAAACCTTGGCTCATACTTGGTTAGTTTGAGATCAACACATGCAGCACTCAGGTCATCAGTTAGTCTGTTTCTTGTCATCTGGCACACCTTTCCCTACTTTAATCTGAGGAAGCAAAAGGGAACATAAGAGGAAAACAGAAGGGATATCCCTGATCTCCTTATCAGTAATATCAGACACATACCTAATTAATAGGGCCAAGGAGAAATTACAGGATGTCTCATAGAACAAAAGCTAAAGCTAAAGTGATGTACATCAATACTTGCTAGGTAAAGAATGTCTTAGTTTTTAATTAATTTAAAAGTCCGGTAATTTAACTGTAGCACATCTGTTTATGCCATCTTGTGCAAATTCTACTGTGTAAATTTCTTCTCTTTCGCAGGTTGTTTGGGCAACAAGTTACAAAGTTGGCTGTGCAGTTATTTACTGCTCGAAAATTACAGGCTCTCGAAGTGTTTCCAGTGGAGCATATTTTCTCTGCAACTACGGGCCAGCGTATATTAGTTTCTCAGTATTTTTAAAGATGTTGCACTTAAGAGGACAATGTATTGCTCTTGCGAGAATATGTGACATGCATTTTGAGTCAAGGGATTCATGCCCTTATCTTACTACTCTTGATAAGCGGCTACCAGGCAGCCTCCAAAGTGCCCAAACAGCAGTTGGGCTGCTGTCAGAAGCTTTCCTGTGCTCACAGCAGCAGAGAGCAGCCATTCTTGCTGCCAGCTCGAGCAGACCTCATCAGCTGCCAGCAAGGATAGCTGGGGAGTGCTCCTTATTTCCAAGGGAGCATGGGGCACAGGACCTCTTGGCAAGGAGGAGTGCCATCCTTGCCGGCAGCTGGAATGGTCAGCTCTCAAGGTGCTAGCAAGGATGACGGGGATGTAGGAGCCAGTGAGCAGCAACATGGCATAGATTGGGCACCTCACCTCCTGTCTAAAAGTTAAACCTCTTGGGTAGGCGGGAGCCAACAATCTGCTTGGCAGCAAAGCCACACAGATTGAGCAGTCCCTTCTCCTGCCCAAGAGTAGACACTTGAGCAGGAAATGGGAGCTGGCAATCCACTCAGTGGCACTGCTCCATGATCAGAGCAGTTCCAATCGCTTCCTGTGCAAGAGTTGACCTCAGCCAGAGAGTACTTCCTCTCGCATGCTTGCCACTTCCATTTTCAATCAACAGCCTACAGTTACTTCCTCTGTAGGTTTTTGAACATAATGTCTGAACCTGGGTTGTCTGGGGGCTAAACAACAGCAGTTCATCCAGCAATACACAAGTTGTTTAATCATAGGTTATTGCATAGAAATGAAAGTGGCAGCCATGCAGGAGGCAGCAGGTAATAGGCTGCATGCTAGCAGTTTCCTCATCATGTGCAAGAATCCCATAAGTTATTTAAACAGCAGGTTGTCATTGCATGCAAACCAGGTCACTGTCAGCTTATAGCACAGTCTCTCAAGTCATGGTCCAGGCAAGTGCCTTAAAGCCAGGATATGCCCCCTTTTTGTGGGGGGTGGTGGGCAGGTATGCATAAAGCTTCAATAGGACACAAGGGACTGTAAGTACAACTTCTGCCTCATTTTTATTCCTTTGCTCTGTTACATAACAGTTGGCTTTAGAAAAGAGATGGTGGGTTATGGCCTTAACACATAATCATGGGAGCATTAAAGTATCTCCCAGTATGCCTCTTGCTAATGGAAATCTGCAGGACAGAGTGACATCCCAGTTTACAAGTGTAGAATACTGGTCTAACTGCAGTGATAAATCTGTCTGTGCAGCTAAAGCAATTCCTTGGCATCAGGCTGATCCTTCCATTCAAGTTGATCTTTTCATTCTTGTATGTAAGCACAAGAATCTTTGCATAATGGATGCCTAATAACCCCCTCTGAAATAAAATGAGGATAAACCAGAGCAAGCTGAGCATGCTTTACTAAACTCCAGCACAATGATTGGATTGTTAACTATGTAATTCACAAAAACACATTAGAATACTTACCAGTGTATTAGGATTTAAATATTAGTCAACAATCCTAAATCTGCTTCCTTTAAAAAACACTGAAATCTGTGAGATTGAGTTTCAACCTAAACATGGCTGAGGTGCTGGCATAACTAATTAAATAAAAGCAGGGTAGTTGATATTTTCCTTTTGTACAGGGAAAGTGATCCTATGGCCTCTAGTCTTCATCTTCATAGGGTCCTTCAGAGATTCAAGGTCAAAAACAGGGTCCCAGCCTGAGAGCAGGAAAACTGCACTGGAACCCCCCCCCCCCCATCCCCAGCTGGCATGGAAAGAACTGGGCTGACTGCTTCTCCAAAGTCAGAAACTCAACCTCAGAGGGAGAGTAAAGAAGGCATTCTATGGAGCAGGGAGGGGGGCGGAGACATATTCTATGTCCTCTGCAGCCTCTTTTCTACTCTCCCCAAAACACCTTCTTACAGACGTGCAGAGTGGGGGTTGTGGAGTAGAGATCATGTACGTCACTCCTGTTCTGCATTAGATGTTTATTAAGTTTCTGAGTTCAGGGATTAAAATTGGAAAAGGTAATTCATTGTGCCTGGGGCTGCCTAATACAACTCCCTAGAACAGCCAATGACACTGGCTGAAAAATGAATAGAAACAGTACCCACTTCTTGAACCTTCTGATACATCTGTAGTGGCAGAGAGAGATCTTCGCTCCTTTTTCAGCCTTTAAAAATACATAGCGCTAGGCTATTGAGGCAATTTCAGAACAAATGGGATGATGTAACTTAGTGTCCTGCAGTAGCTGGGGGTTAGACCCAATGGCCTTCGGCCCCCTTCCAACTCTACTAATCTAAGATTCTGTCATTCTACTCCTTCATACTGTGTTGCTTTAACAATATAATTGCCTTTGCTTTTGCAGTGGGAATTATCCAATGCATCCTTACAAAACAGGAAACCCATGCAGTGAATGTCGGGGTGAAAAGTGTGTAAATAATCTATGTGGTAAGGATTCTGTCCCTGCTGGATATGGAACTAGTTATGCTTACATTTATTGTCACAAAAGAACCCCCACCCCCTTTTACATTTGATTAGTACCAGACTGCCGTAAATACACAAACTGTGAGTACAAATCTTTAAAAATCAGTAGGCTTTATTTCCCCAAACAAAGTTGTTTATTATTGTGTTTAGGTGTCAGATATCCATTTGATTTAAAGCAGGGATGAGAAACATCAAGAAATCCAGGTGCCATTTTCACACACACACACAGGCTGCAGTAGACCAGGCAACTTGAATGTGATTTTAAAGAGAGATTGTCTATTGCAAGTATCAAGGGTCAAATATAGCTTGGTTGACTTTTTTGTCAATTAACTTTTTTTCTCTGTGCAACGAGGGGCTAGCAAGAGCCCTCCCCTGATTTAAAGTCTATCCATGTTTGCCATTTGTTTGCCATTTCCTTTCTTAGAACCATTTATCTGAGTTGCTGAATGTGTAATATGAAATATTGTACACATAATTGGCATCAAAAAGGCTATACTCAAGTCTCAAATTAACAAAGGCTGAAACTGAAATTTCTAAAATTCTGTGCGGTTGTTCATTGATTGTTGATATGTAATATGCAAATACCTTGAAATCTGGCTCCCCAGTAGGTTGCATGCAGGCTAAGACTGCAATCCTGTGGTCCTTTGGCCATTGGATTTTCCAAATTTCCCTTTCCAAGCTCCTTTTGGACAGTCCTTCCCAGTTGCCATGGAAATCTCTATGGTCAGTGTTTTTTCCAAGTGTGTTGGGGGGGCCAGGTACTGCAGTGCTTTTATATGTCTTGGGTAAGCTTTACGAATAGCCACAAGCTTGTTAACTTCAGTGCAAGTTTTCCTTTCAGCTTATCCAGACAATGAGATTTAAAAGTGGCCTATTGCATTTGCATGATAGCCCTATAGTCCTTTTAATCACAGTTCAAAAGCAAGAAAATAATATCCAGCTAACAGTTAAAGGACAGAACTGGAAATAGTTCTTCTGCTTAGGGTAGAGTAGAATAGTCAGGTAGTCATCTGCATTTACCCCCATTTTAATAATAGCACATATTACCATTCCTACTACTGCATTTATACCCTGCAGGAAACCCCTGGAGAGACATTCTGGCTCAGCTAAAAAAGGAGAAACTTTTCACAGGAATTCCTAGCAAAGGCCTTCATTAGTTTCACTTTGACAAAAATGACAACATTTAAAGATCTGTTGGGAAGGAGTTGGAGTGATGTGTTTTTCTTTTCAACTGTTATATATGAATCCCATATAGGGCAAAAAGAACACAAGCGCAAAGGAAAGAAAATAATCACAATATTATTTCTGGAAATATTATTATCACAGCCATGTGGCTGCAGAATAGACAAAAACACCAATTGCTCATGCATGACATCTCTGAAAACTAAATCCTCCCATTGAGAGGATTCTTCCAAGCCCAGTTGCTGGGTGCAGCTGTGTGTCTTTGCTGAGATTAAGACTCGAGGAAGGTTAATTCTTCCCAGCCAAAACCTGCATGACTGCCTGTCCCATGCAAACGGGGCAGCTTGCTGAGCTTTCATGCTAAGTTATAAGAACTTTCTCTTTGTGTTCCACATGGAAATACAGTGAGTTGTGGATGGCTGAAAAGTGCATTTGGCAACAGAATTCTGCAGTCACGTGCCCTCTTTTCTGCTTCTCATAATTTTCCCTCAGATCGGTTGAGCAATAAGGGGAAATTGTGTGCAGGGAAGGTTTAAACCCAACTATTATGACTAGATTGGAAAGCAACTGAGTAGTTGGGAATACAGGAGACTGAAGAGGATAGGTAGGTCTTGGTGAAAATTAATATGGGAAAATGAACATTCTGACAGTCAGAAAAAGGTAGTAATAATTATGTCCAAAGTAAGCAGGTGTGCTAGGTCTATTGATGATGCAATCCAGTAACTCAATCATTTAGCAAAACCTTTGGTCTGTTAAAACTAGCTATTGATGTTAGTGATGAGTTTAAAGTTTTTAATAAATTAAAAAAAACTTGTCCAGATTAAGCAGAGGTTGTTGATGGGGGGAATGCCAGATTTTATCCAATAATTACATTGCTTTCTTTTCACTCCCTAGAGAATGCAGAGCGTGATAAACTGATAAGTATGTATTTTATTTATTACATTTCCATAATGGTGAATAGTCAAAGCTCTGTTGACAGTTCACAAAACTGGATTGTTTTCAGTATTATTTAGTTTGGGTGCAATCTGTTGATAAGGCTGACTCCTGTCTGTTTTGCAGGTTATACTAATTGGTTTCCAGATTGGGATACATCAGAGGATGAACCTATGCAACCACCAGGGACTAATCCCAGTCCCATTCCTCCTGCTTCATCTCCCAAAAATCGATCAGCATGTGATTCATACTGTATTGCTGTTTTAACTTTGAGATTACTATTTATATTATTGACCTTTGGCACTGTGGCTCTGCTATCCAGGCAGTATCCTCATCTGTTCATATATGAATAATCTCTTTAACTCTGATGTAGTATCTGACATGTTTTCAAGTTACACTCAGATTCTAAGCTTTAAGCACTGTACATTTTATGTAACCTTCCAGTCTTCAGTGTTGCACATAAAGTATTGCCAGTATGACATAGCAATAAATTTCCAAAACAGAACAGGAACTTTGTAGTTCATCTTTCACACTGCAGAAGAGTGGCTGCTGCAGTAGCATTTGCACCAGAACAAGCGATTCGGTAATCTCTCTAATTGGCATCATGTGGGTCTTTGGGGCTTTCAGCCTCCACATACTGAAATATTCTGTGGCTTCAGCATTCTTCTTCTGCGGCTGGTTGCCAGTTCCTCTCCACACACACCCCCCCCCCCCCAATTGGTCCATATCCTGTGCTGACTGGTGTGAAGCTGCAACCTTTGCCTTCAGTCATCTGTGCTTTTTGCCCTTCACAGGAAACCCCAAGACTGAGCTATAAACATTTAAAATTTGCCATATGAAGGCTGGGAACATTCTTCAGGGGCAGAACAAGTGATTTCCTGGGACATCCCTCCCACAATGCCTGGCTCTGAGGAACAATAATCAGAGAGGACTGCCTCTCTGATGAACTGTGCCAGCTGCTTTCTTCAAGCTGGGTCTCCAGAGAGCCTGATCACCCTTGGACTCGCTTTGAAAGGATTCTCAGCCCAAGCCTGATGGTGAGTGGCTGAGAGCACGTGCTCATCCTGTTTTGCTCTGATGAGAAAGCACTTACCTGCCACCCATTCCACTCTAGATGTCCTCAAAGCAAAACAAAGGGCAAGCATGTATTTCAGAGATCTCTCTGTGGAACTCCTTCACCCTGGGAGAGTTGGACAAAGCAGGGTTTCTAATAGCACCTGCTGTGGTGCTGCTGGGTGGGCCACTGCTCTGGGGTGTTCTGCTGGCAGCAAATGCCATGGCAGGAAGCAGCTGGCTAGGCCCTCTGGAAGACCTGTTTGATGAAGAGGTGTCAGGCCCTGCAGTGGAGGGAGAGCATCCAGTTTGCTGCTGCTCTTGCTCTGCTGCCCGAACCTGGAGTCCACCTGCCCTCATGGGAAAGCTGGCCCTGAATATGTTGTTAGTCGCAAAGAAGTGTCCGACCCATCACGACCCCATGGACAACATTCCTCCAGGCCTTCCTGTCCTCCACCATCCCCCAAAGTTCACTTAAGCTCACGCCGACTGCTTCAGTGACTCCATCTAGCCACCTCATCCTTTGCCATCCCCTTCTTCTTTTGCCTTCAATTGCTCCCAGCATTAGGCTCTTCTCCAGTGAGTCCTTCCTTCTCATTAGGTGGCCAAAGTATTTGAGTTTCATCTTCAGTATCTGGCCTTCCAAAGAGCAGTCAGGGTTGATTTCTAGGACTGACTGGTTTGATCTTTTTGCAGTCCAAGGGACTCACAGGAGTCTTCTCCAGTACCACAATTCAAAGGCCTCAATTCTTCGGCGCTCAGCCTTCCTTATGGTCCAACTTTCACAGTCATACATTGCAACTGGAAAAACCATAACCTTAACTATACGCACTTTTGTCAGCAGGGTGATGTCTCTGCTTTTTAGTATGCTGTCTAGATTTGCCATAGCTTTCCTCCCCAGGAGCAAGCATCTTTTAATTTCTTGGCCGCAGTCTCCATCTGTGGTGATCTTGGAGCCCAGGAAAATAAAATCTGTCACTACCTCCATTTCTTCCCCTTCTATTTGCCAGGAAGTGATAAGACCAGATAGTTTTCTTAATGTTGAGTTTCAAGCCAACTTTTGCACTCTCCTCCTTCACCCTCATCAAGAGGCTCTTTAGTTCCTCTTCACTGAATATAGAGCTTAGCCATTTATAGCTAAAGTGGGCTTAGACATGCATCAAGGGGCAGAAAGGAAATATATTTTATGTTGGAATTGCAGTTCATCTGCATTCATAAGAACATTGATTTTAGTTAGTTGCACGCATTTAGACTCAAGCCTACTTTCCCGCCTACACACTGAATTGGGTGTATTGAATCTTTTTCAGCCTATAGGCACAATTCAGTACTGGAGAAGCATGAAGGCTGCACTCCAGTGGGTTGTGCTGAAGGCACCATGGGCTGCAACCAAAATAAGAAGAATATCAGCTTATTTTAGCTTAAACTCTTCCTACTAGTAACTATGCCTTAGGAGAGGCATTTTAACCTTTTAGAAGGGGGGGGGGCATTCTGCAAAAGCTGAGAAGCCAACTAACAGTTGCAAGACAAAAAGCAGTCAAGAAGAAACAGATGGTGCCATGGAAGAGCCATGGTCAGGTGAAGGGGAGGGTTTTGTGGCCCTGCTACCTTCAAAATTTAAAGGAATACCATTTAAAATAGCATAAATGTTTCCAGCAGATAAAAGCTGAAACCAGTACAGCAGTGCAAATATACAATAAATTACAGAGCTATGTGTCATATTATTTTGTGTAATTTTTTCCTTCACTGATGAGAGCTGAAATTCTAGAGATTTTATCCAGAGAAAATGCGTTTGGAATTGGGATGCAAGATGATTGTGATATTGGGAAAACAATGAAGAGTTTTTTAAATGATACGAATGGCTACATGAGGCACTTTACTGTGCTTGTATGGTCCAGTACCTCAGATGCTCTCAGTGTGGTTAAAGGCACAAGATACGAAGAAAGAAGAAATATATGAGGAAGTGAAAGAAGTCACAGTAAAAACAGAATTAACTGAAGCTGACTCATTTCCTGCTGTCTATATTTAAGTACTGCAGAGAAAGGAAATATTGCTATTATTATTTTATATATATACCTTATACTTTGCCTTTTTTCCTCTTGCAAGAGAACAATGGTAGTTTACACATTTTTCCTAATCATTCTTTAAACCTCACAAAGCAGCTCTCTGAGGTAGGTTAAACTGAGAGTTCGGCCCAAAGTCACCCAGCAAGCTTCATGACTGAGTTGGGACTAGAACCCAAATATTCCAAGTTCCAGTCCCAGTATGCCACAGATTAAAAGCAACTGGAAGTTCTTTGTGGTTTCTGCATCACACATATGGGCTTTGTGCCTGTTCAAAGCAAGTTGTCAGGATGATTTATTAGCCAAGTGTGTTTCAGTGGAAACTCCTCCCCCAGCTCAGCATCCACTATAAAGAGGTGGTCCTGTCCTTTCCTTCAGTTCTTCTTTGACCACCTTCACCAGCACCTCAGGAAGTTCTTTCTATCTCCATGAGCTTTGAGCATTTGCTTCCCTCATTTTTCTCCATGATCTTTTCTATATACAGTACCTAAGTCCCCCCATTTTTGCAAATCTTTGCTATACTTTCCCTTAATCACTACCCATTTTTCCTACCTTCTCTCTCACACACCCTTTTCATTTACCCCCATTATCTACAGTTCTTTATCTACCCTTCATTATATCTCCTTCCTTGTTTTCACTGAAAAAATGGCATTGAAGGGCCCATTCTGCAAATGCACCGCAGTGTGGGAGCAAACTGCCAACAGGTATTTGCTATGCCTACTGTACTTGAGTGAGGGGCACTTAATTGACCAATGCCCCCACTGTCAAGTTTCAACAAAGCAAGGGAGGAAGCATCACACTGACCACCACCAGGTGGCGCTTTGGAACAAGGCACTCCCAGAGGTTGACACTAGAATCCTGCTAGATGAGCCCTGTCCTCTGAGGCTGCTTTCTCACCAAGGCTTGTGCCTTCTGTGACAAGTGCCCTACCAATGGGCCAGTTGCCTCCATCAACTATGGGAAAGTCTTTGAACTTGAAAAAGGCAAAGAAACTGTCCAAGGAGGCAAAGTTGGGAACGTCACCAGTCATCAAAAAAAAAAAAGTGCTCAAAAGAACACCAGTCAGTCCAGACCACAATGGAATTATCTGCTCCCAACTTTCTGGACTTGGAGCCACCAGTACTGAGACCTGAATCCATCTTAGTATTGGAGGGGGACATTGAGGGCACACCATCTGCTCTCCAAGACTCCAGCTCAACAGCAACCAGCTGCTCCACCACTTGCACATCTACAAGCAGAGCCCCATCAGGACTGAGAGGTCACTTCTGCTCCCCAACTTTGGATTGAGCCAGGAGATCAACATGCTGTGTTCCACTGCCCTACTGAGAGTTCTTTGATCCCTGAGGGTATCGCCACCAACCTCCAGACTACAACCCTCTGGACTGGCTAATCTATCATCCCAAATATTATAGTGGTTGGAAGCAATTCTTCAAGCTGCTGAGTTTTTTAAGACTGTCAACTCTGCCCCTGAGACTCCAATAGCTGGTTTCTTTGACCACACAACTTCAAGGATCTGCCTCCACTATTATGCTGCTATGTTGATCCAGCTCTCCTTTAGTTCGGACTAGCAGCTGCCCGATCTTCAGGCCAGCAGCAACAGCTGATGCTCAAGGTTTCTTCAGCTTCTGCCTCAGTTGTCTCCTGGTCTTGTAGATGTTCTTTCCAGCTGATATATTTGTGAGAAGCTGGTGAGGGAAAGTCTGAAGAAAACATCTCCGGATGATTCTCCCTCACGCAAACTCCTGTCAGATGTTCCCAGGCATGTTCCTATACCCTGCTCCCACCCTGATTGCTCCTAGCTGGCTCCCCTAGTCCTTGCTGGCTTCATGCTCTTTTCCCTACCTCTTCCTTGCTGGCTTTCCTGGCTAACAGTTCCTTTTGTGTAAGCTCCACTGCTCGCCCTAGCCCACACCCACCCACCCAACTTACTCAACAGGAGTAACTGAGGTCCCTTTTTTCTTTCCTGCTTCATTTTCTTGGCGGCTGGGTACCTTACCATTTTATTTTCTAAGAATATATTTTGACCACATATGAGACTCAGAAGCATTCAGGAAAAATGAAGATGGATACAACTGTAGGCAGTCACTTTACTTTGACATGCTTTACTTGCCAGGAAAATCGGAGGGGTAGGATGCCTTAGAATGTGAGGCAGAAGGTGTCCGGGGCACACTAGTTACCACAGGTACCATGCTGCCAATTCCCAGGCTAGACAAAGATTAACTGCACTTATTTCCAGTTATTGCACACCGATGGCCTCAGCACTTGATATTTCCCATAATTTCCCAAAGTGTTATGTTAAATACAAGCATAGAGGAAAGAAATGATAAACACTCAGCCCAAAATTCTTTAGTCACAATAAAATTAAAAGCCCAGTGACAAATCAGAAAGTTTTAGAAATTGTCCAAAAATTAGCAATGAGAATCTGAGCTTTGCACCCATCAATAATCAGCAAGTAGCTAGGAATTAATGCTGGTGAATGTGGTCCTTAAACTCTGAAGAGTCCTTTGTTAAATTTGACTGAGTTATAATGTGTAATTATTCCCACTATCTACTATTTCAACTTTCACTATTTATTAAAAATAATCCTGGCCATTTTCAAATTTAAAGCCATTTCAATAAAACTAGAGCCGGGACCTGTAATTCACCCACTGTCACCTTCCCTTCCCATCAAGTAAAGGTTATTTCACAAAAAGGGGATGATCCAACATGGCAATACAAAACAGTAGCAACATGTAGCAAGTGTGAGAGAGAACCAGGTACAAGCAGACACTGGGTCAGTAACACATAACTAATCACTAATACCATTCTGACAACAATGTGCAACCAGGAATAGAATGTTACAAGATCAGTGCTTTGTAGTTCAATATAGAACAGTGCATTAAACATTGCAGTCACAACATATTCAAGCTCCTAGTTTACTACCACCATACATTACAACTCCTTCTGCTTAAGCAGGGATATTATCAATTGTACGAGCTGCTGAGACACCATTAAAGGCAGAGTTGTTAATGGTGGGCAGTTCTAAGTATTTGAGAACCTTATAGTAACATTTCATGTGGAATGTTCTAGTACTGAAAATATATACTTTTGCCCCACCTTGCCATGTTCTCTGGGACAGGTTTTTAGAACTCCCTTATCTCATAATAGCTCATCAAAAAAGTTTTTTTGGCATTTAAAGGTTTAGCAAAGACCTGCTTTTTTGGAACTGTAGTACTGGGGAGTAATCATATAGTAAATCTTCTACATCAAGCTGGTTCTTAAGATCCTGGTTTGAGTATAAACCACACTGAAGTCCCATTAGTTCATGGGTAGGAAATAAAAATAGTAATCCTTTCTGTAATTATTGCTGCCATACAAAGAGCTGTTAGAATTGGGTTGCAGGTTGTCTTAGCATAGAATTTTGCTCACACTGAAGCTTCACTAGGAAAATGATCACATGGGGAAAAAAATAAAGCCTCCTGTTCTTTCTAGTTAAATATACTTCTAAGCAGTGGGAAATGTTTAGCTGCTAAAATGCACCCTACAGATTCAGCCACTCTTCCAGACATGCATTCACTTCTCCTAAGGCACATGGTGTCTACTGCTTACTACTTTTTTGAAAGTACTGATTATTGTACTTACCATACACAAAATGTTGAATTTAGCTCTACATGTTAAGGGTAGAAAGTAGGACAGGAAAGATTTAGGCTCTCTGCCTTACTAAGTCCTGAAAGTCACTTATCTCATTGCAGCAGGAAGATATCTTTCATGATGATGTGCAGACACATTTGCACACATCTCCTGGCCAATTTTGAGAAGTAGGGATGCTGGAGCACCCCAGGAGAGCACACACTCTAGCAATCCATAAACCAAATCTGAGGCATACTAACATGATGTAGTGTCTGCTAAGGTCAGAGACTTGCCATTTGTCAGATGCCCATTCAGAACAGGTTCTTCAAGGTCAGTGATTTTGCAGAGGCCTTTATGAATGAAGCCACACAAAATCAATTGCTAAACTGCATACTATCCACCATCTCAGGTTGAAGAACATCTGTGTTCCTCACTGCCAGGGTCACAGGTGACTCCTAATCACAAGTGCAGCTCTCTGCCTCTTTTCACAGCGGCTGTTCAGCTTCAGTGAGGTCTCCTGCTTTGCCTGTGAATAGCTTTAGTCAGGGGCAGCATGCAGAAACCAGGGGAACCTTTAGGGAGGAACATTAGGACATCTCTTGCTAGTCAGCTGTTAAAGTGGCTAAAAGTGAAAAAGGGTGAACACAAGGGCAATCATCCAATTAGCTATGGAGTGGGAGTGGTAGTCCATGACACCAACAGCAGCACAACTGGTCAGCTGCGGTTGGCCCCTAGGTGACCAGGGTGGCAGTGAATGCAACCTGAGTGGCTTCTTTTTAAAAATAGTAAAGATCATTGCACAAAAGTCTGACAAAGTCCCCTAGCTTCTACCCAAAATTCAGAGCTGTGTTTGGGTTATTAGAAAAACTCCTCAGTTATAAAAGTAACAATCCCAGAAGTTCTAAACATGAGCCAATGTTCTGGTATTATTGAAGTGACTTCCCATTAATGTAAATAAATTTATTTACAGTTGGAGAAGTCATTGTGTGACCAGAGCTACATTACCATCTTTACTTTTGCTGACTTTGGAATAGTTTTATTTATGAAGCAACATTATCCAAAAAAGTCTATGTTTAATTGATCAGGCCACAATGATAACTAAGAGTCCAATCCCACTGGAACATTCATAAACCTCTGAAAACAGAGGCTGATGAGCATCCAGTGCAGAGGGGCGGCAGCCACAGCAGCATCTTCCAGCTCTAAGATTTTCTAGGTAGGTTTTGCCCACCTAGCTGGATCATCTCAGCAGGGAAGGGAAGAAGGCTGAAGCAGCCTCTGGCTATCCTGTAGCTTAGGCTCCTTAGTCTCCTCTCCTCCCTGCTGTTTTACTCCTCTCTGGAATTGCTTCCCTGACAGTCAGTGTGGTTCTTTCTACACTGGCTGTCAGGGGGCAGGGTAAAGAGGTAAAGCTCTAATGCCCAGCTTGAAGCACAGTCTCTAACCTTGGCTCTAAAATCCAAAAATCATATGGCCCCTCAGTTACTGTCTGAGGGCCACAGAATCTCTCCCTAAATAGCTTCAGCACTGAGCAAGTCTCACAAAGAGATGGGGTAAGTACTGCCAGCTGATATATGACATGATTAAAATAAGAAAAGCTTTTAGCATCTACTTCAAGGTCATTCTGTAGATATTAAAAAGTACCTGTAACCTAAAAGGACATATGGTTTTGGGTTACCAGCCAAGTGTTACAAGAGGTATGATTCATATGACTTAACCAGAAGATTCATGGTTTTTGAAGGAAAAATGAACACCCAATTTCTATTCCACTTGACAGACAGGGTTTCATAGTTCAGTTGCAGCCAGCATTTGGAAAGTGTATCTCTCAAACAGTAGACATAACATTCAGAACAGACCAAAACTCCACTTTCCAGACGTACCAATGTATATAAAAATAGTTTATCTAAACTTGGGTGGCCTAAACTGTACATGTTTCCTTTTTTGACATACACTTTAACATCTTCTCAAAGAAAACTTTTCCACTTTTAATTTATCAGAGAAGCACTCCCAGGAACAATATCACAAATAACGTGAAGTGTGAGTTGGCAATATTCACACTCTGTACTAATCCTTTTGCAATAGCTCTATGTATGCTAGAAATCTTCAATAACAAAAAGCTTTTAAGTCACCAGCTTACTCCAATGGATGCTGTAAACCTGCAAGCCTTATTCATATTATAAAGAATGCAGCAGAATAAGCTGTCAGTTTTACTTTAGATAAATTGGGAAACTGGTGATTTTTCACCCACCAGAGAAGGTGAGGCTTCTGTTTTCTGATATCCAGTGGAAATAGAACAAATTGAAGTTAGTTATAAAACTAGAGTTCATGGAATCTTCCTTCTCGGAAAAAGGTCAGGACAATTTGGCCGATTTTTTCTTTTTCTTCTCATTTTCTGCAATTTTTAACTTTACTTCTTCAACTGGAAGTGCTCCCAGCTTCTTCTTCTTTGCCTTTTTAACCTTTTCTTTAATAGCTTCAATGTCAATTTTTGTTTCTGCTGAGGCTACATAATGGGAAAAATATTAATATTAGTTGGATTATCTAGGATCAATGAAAGGGAAACTCAAAATTTTGCACATGTTAATTAGGTCTAATTTAAACATGACGTCAACCCCCTCCCCAACAAATATATAGTATATAAATTTACTATATATTGTCAAATATAGTAAATTTTTCATGAGGGATTATACAGCATGAACCTATTTTCCAAAAAGACTAGTCAATCTATGTAATATAGGTCACTGCTATTTCATATCATGGACAACAAACCAGAACACTTTCCTTCCATTAATACTTCTATATAGCAGAAGGAATTACTTTTTTTTAACAAAAGAAGAACATTATCTTACCTTTCTTAGGTTTTACAACTGGCTTTTCTTTGGGTGGAATAAAAGCTTTATTTCTCTCCTCTTGTTTCCTACTAATTGCCTCTGCTTGTTTTGCCTAAAATAAAATGTAAAAAAGCCCGCATTTCAAGTATGTTAAGACCAAAATTAGATATATTTTAAAATAACTTCTCAAATATCAAAGTGACTATACCTTTATCTCCTCCACTCTCTTACGCTTCTTCTGACTTTCTTTCAAGAAATATTCACCACTGGCCAATTCTTTATCGATCTGTAAAATTTACAGTTATGATTAGACATATCCCACACGAAATACGCTTGTTCTCTCATTTAGAAACAAAAAAATTGGAGAGGAGCTCTGAACAAACAATATATTTCATGTGGAAGAAAATGTTCTAAAAGTGTTTATTATTCTGAGACAGAGCAAGCAAATACACATTTTATAATGTATTTTTGTTTTTTCCTTCAGACAATTAATACTATTATTGCTATTATCATTTGCCTTACTATACCACCCAATAGCTTAAGCTTTTGGGAGGATTCATAGAAATTACAGGCCACAAATAAAAGATAGCAAAATACACTAAACTTAAGCAAAATATTTAAAAATTATTTACAATATTTTAAAACAGTTACAGTAAGATCTGAGTTCTGATAAAAATAAGACCCACAAATGCCCCATCAAAGTTCTAACCTCCAGTAAGAAGTTTTTTTTCCCTCCCAAACCCCTTCATGTTCAGTAAAATTTTGGCACTTAACACACCTGACTTTCTGGTTGTGGAGGTGGGAAGGGAGTATATTCTTTCTTGACATTTTTCTTCTTGGGTTCCTTCCGTTTGTTCAAATTCTTGTGTTTGAATTTAGGTAAAAACCGTTCCCAGCTCTGTAATCTTAATTCAGGATCTTTTAGCAATTCCCTTTTAATCATCAGAGTCTTTGAACAAAACACCAAACAGTAAGTTAGAATATAGTATTTACTCAACTCCATGGTTTTTATCTACTGAGAATGAATCAGAAATTTTTAGAACCTAAAATAACCTTTTAGTAGTAGCAAATAGCATCGTGTTTTACCACAAGAAAAGGAAATGCTGGGTGCTATTCAATATAAGCAGTTAATATGTTTCATATGTTTAGACAGAAAGAAGTCATATTCTGTGTGAGTTTGTTTCCAAATTAATCTGTATTCCTCCCTTTAAAAGAATCCTCTAATCAAGGGGCTAGTGAACAGGAACTCTCTCCACCTGCAATGGTGTTCTTCTGGACTCTAGCACCTGCTGCTATGGCTGTCCTGACATCAAAATGGAGTCATTTTGTGGCATGCTAGTATCTAGGCCCTGCAGATTTTCAAGCTGCCAACATGTCGCAAATGAAGCTGGAAGCTATACCTGCCTGAAGGTTAATGGAGCAAATGTCTTTGCACTGGAGGCAATGGTCTATGGGAAAGAAAAAGCAGACCCCTCCCTTCTGCTTCAGCCACTGAATGGTGGAAGGCATATGGATGTATGGTGATTCACTGTGGCTGTCCAGTACCTAAGGATGTAGAATTGCTCTCCCCAAAAAGGATTTTGTTACCAAAAAAGAAAATGTTAAAAAGATAAAAGACACCTCAACTGATAAACTTGTTAGGCTCAAGGGGAAAGAGACCCAAAATAAACAGTGAAAAGTGTTTGTGGCATAAAAAGTTACATTTACCTTGATGTTATATATTGGATGAATATTCTTCAAGGTATCCAGAACAACTTTCCTAACCTAGATTTAAGAAAAGACAGAAAACATTTGTTTTCATTGAAGACTGCTACTATGAACATGAAACAGTCTTTTCAGAACCACTCACTGATCATGCATTGAATAAAAGTATACTGACAACCTAATATTTATTGCCCTATCCAAGGTCTGTCACCTTCTCATATGTTCATTTGTGCAAGTTCTTGCCTGGTTCACCTGTACAACTCCACAGCTTTCAAAAATCCTCACATATTTTGCCTTACATAGCAGGCTCACGGAATCTGGGCTATAATATCAAGTGCTATGATGCTTTAAGACAGAAAAATAATCCTAATGAAACAACTAAGTAATTTCTAGGCCAAATGATAAAAAGTGTTTGCATAGGTGCAAGTCTATCAAGAAAACTGATTTTAAAAGAGACAAATAGATTCTACAACTTGAACTGAACTCCTGAAAATGTTCTCCACTAGGAAAGAGAGATCTTACCTCTTTTAAGCCACTATATGGTCCAAGGGCTGAAACAGTGTTTCCCTGAACCATGATGTAACAGTTGGTCAACAGTTCCAGAGCCTACATCAGAACAAAATATAGCAGATATTTCAAATGTAGAAGTCTTAATGATTACTAAGACTTATATCTTAATGTAATGGCCACCCAGAGAGCATGATGCTAAGGGAAAGCTTTTATACACATAAATAAACAAATAAATATTTTTCATTTACTCATTAGGGAATAAACCTCACTGAACCCATCAGGGCCTAAAAATGGAATAGGCTGTAAGCATATAAGGCATACCTTGAGAGTGGATCCATTGGGACCAATAAGTCGCTGTCTTCTTTTTATAAATCTTTCTCTGTTCCTGACCAGAGAGCCTATTTTAATGATGTCGCATGCAACATCATCTTCCAGGATGCGTACAGCCTGAATAGAACATTAGATACCATCTGCAGTTAAACAGATAAAAGTCTGGGTGGGAATATGCATTCATTCTGAGAAACTATTCTAAAAGAAGATTCTAAATCAAAGTAAACCTGCTAATTCAATTGAATTACTTTTCTAATAAACTGAGGCACATATTTCAGAGTATTGTAAATTTAGTATTTAAAAGGCTATTAGGAAAACAAATTCAGGTAACTTCAAAGGGATGAATGGTAGACACACATTTATTCATTGCTGAACACACCTGCTCAAATGGAACACTTCTTGCTAGGAGCTTAATCAAGTCTCTGGCTCTGATGATTATATACGGGTCAAACGTCTTCTTTGTTGTGTTGACAGTCATGCTTCCTTCAATTAAATCTAAAGCTGCATTTATGTGCTGCAATACAAAGAAACAAGAAATGGCCTATAGAGAAATAGCATTACAGCATCATACTCTAAACAAAGGTTGGTAACAGTCTGTATCTTGAAAACAACAACAACAGAGCATGATAATGCATATAAGTCTGACTTGGGAAGTTTCAAGTAGAATTTTAAATTAACGGCTCACATGGCTGGTGTCAGGCATTTACTGAAGCCTATGCTACTATAGAGGGCCCACTGCCAACCTCCGGGGTTTCTTCTTTCCTTTTGCGGTTCGCACAAGTGAACAATAGAGGAGCAAAAAGAGCAGAAAGCTGCATGTGGTTTGTCCCCTTTGAAAGGTCAGACTGAGTAAGGAAGGAGAATCATGCAAATGGACAGAGGCAACAATGATAAGGAGGTAAAGTCATTAATTGATAACATCTTGCCCAAGAGACTCCAAAACCTGGAGTCTTATTACCTTTTCTACTGCAAACATGACTCTTAACTTCACCCACATGATTGAATTAATCCAAGCATCTGCTAAGGGGTATGTATTATTCCACTGGACATGCAGGCTGCTCAGGTAGCTAATGCTCTGATAAGAGGTATGCTATCTGAGTATTCTAAGAAATATTGCACAGTGAAACAAGCATTATTTTGAGTAGCATTTTATTATAACCCAGTCTGCCCATTTCCATTTATGAAAGTAAGAGTGGTAGTTTTGAGAATCCTCTACCCAACAATGCACCACAAACCACATCTTGCCTTCATGTGCTGTGAGTGTACTCTTGAAGTAAAACAGCCAC